GAATGTTCCAATCCATGAATATGGTATATATTTCCATTGTTTGGGTCTTAATATTCCCCCAGTGATTTCTTTTGCAGGATATAGGTACTGTGTTCAGTGTGTCCCCAAGTATTTCATGGTTATGGATGCTATTGTTAATAGTACTTTTTATTGCAATTTCCAATCTTCATTGCTAGATAGAGTGATACAATTGATTTGGTATATTGATCTTGTACCCTGGGTCTTTGCTAAAGTCACTTTGTCATTCTAGATTTGTTTCATAGGTTATTTAGAATTTTTTATGTACCAGATAACACAGTGTGTGAGTAAAGACGATTTTACTTCTTCTTTTGCAGGAGGATGTCCATGCTCCCTGTTTTCTCGCTTTTATTACAAGGCTGGGGCCTCTGGCATGGTGCGGGGGGAAGGACTGCGCGCGGGCGTCCGCCTTTCACCATGAAGTACGACGTTAGCTGTAGACTTCGCACAGATGCCCTCCGTCAGGGTTAAGTCGTTTCCTTCCACCCCTAATTTGCTGAGTTTTTTGTTTGTTTGTTTGTTTCTTTAAATCATGAGTTGGTGTTCAATTTTGTTGAATACTTTTCCTGTGTGTATTTACACAACTGTATGGTGTTTCTTTTTTTTTTTTTAATCTGTTAATTTAGCATATTGATGTTTTAATGTTATACCAACTTGTCACTGCCAGAATAACACCCACTGGGTCTGGATATCCTAGCCTTTTCATGAATCATTGGGTTTGATATTCTAATATTTCATTAAGAATTTTTTGGTCTATGTTCTTTAAGGAAATTGGTCCATAGTTTTTCCTTCCTGGAATGTCTCTGTCTGGTCTTGGTATCAGGGCAGTGTTGGCCTCATGAAATGAACTGCACGTCTTCTGCCATCCTTTATTTTTTGCAAATGAGCTTGGATGGGATTAATATTCTTTCTTAGATGTTTATGTCACCAGGGAAGCCACCTGGCCTGGAGTCTGTGTGGGAAGGCTTTAAGTTCTACCACCAACTGCTTGGATAGACAGACGCCTAGTCACATTTCTATTTCTCCTTGAAGCAGGTTTGGTAACATGGGTCTTTCAGGGAATTTGCCAGTTTTATCAAACTGTTGGCCTGTAGTTGTTCTTATTTCATGATCATCTCCTTAATATCTTCAGGCCCTGCAGCAATTCCCCCTCTTTCACTCCTTGTAATTTTTAACTGGCTGTTGGACATTTTAACTACTGTGCTCACATTTTCTTGTCTTTTTTCTAGCGTGTTGGGCTTTGCTCTTTAGGCAGTCAGGTGCCTCATTTGGTCATTTCTAAGACTGGTTTTAAGCTCTTCCAAGCTAGGTCTAGACAGGCCTGCCCGTCAGGGACAGGGCTACGACCAAGGTGTGCCTTCTCTGGGTCTCGGCTGAGTGACGGCTGGAGCTTCCTCCCTACCCCTGAGGTCTCTGGAAATGGTTCCGCTTACGAGCTGTCTTTCCTTTGCCTGGATTTGCGGAGTTTTACTCCATACATCTGTGGGCTAGTACCCAGTAAGGACTCAAGAGAATCCCCAGGCAGGTTTCTGGAGCTCTCTTCTGCACACCACTCCCGCTCTCTGGACTCTCTCCTGTGTCTCCCAGCCCTTCTGCCTCCCCGAATCCTGACTGCTGTTTCCTCCGCCCCGGAAGACACTGAGATCTGCTTGGCGATCCCCTCCCTGTGCCTGCAACCCAGAAACGGCCTCTGGGCCGGGAGCCAGGGCACCTGAAAGGCCCCGGCTGTCCTCCTTCCTTCGAGAGTCCCGGTCCTGTGCCGCCTATTTCCCGATATCTGAGAACAGTGGTTTCGTATATTTTGTTTATGGAGAGGTGTTGACGTCTAGTCCTCAGCCTGCTCAGAAGCAGGAGTGGGCGCTAGTCATGCTGTGGCCCCAGAATACCCACCACCAAAGTATGAGCCGATCCGGCTACTTCTTAAAGTATTTACTTTGTTTTCAAAGTTATTTCAACACAAGTTTTTTCCTAAGTGGCAGAACTTGTTTCATCATAACAGCCTCAAGAGAAGAGCTAACAAAGATCTATTTGACCATCTGTTTCTCGAAAAGTACTTCCCCCAAAGCCTCAGATTATGGGCATCGGTAAAGGCAGGAAGCTGGAGTTGCTCCCTTAATTCAAGACACTGCGCTGCTCCCTCCTTTGAACAGAACGCTGCTTCCTCCGTTTCTCTGGCTGCAGTCACAAGAGGGTGCTTCGGGGTGTGCACACTCCTCTCAGGACAGTTTCCTGGGGCCCTGGGCTCTCATTCAGTGCCGCCCTGATGAGACAGGAGGGGGCAGGGCACAGCCGTTCAAGGGGTGACACAGCAGTTCGCATCAAAATGGTGGAAGATCCAGCCCCCGGCAGGCCCTGAGGCTCAGGATGATGAGAGATTTCACTTCTAGCAGACCTTGAGCTTCCTTATAGGCCCACTGTAATATATCAGCAGGGTGAGTAACATGCCCACAGGCGCCGTGGCAGTCCCAAGGCTGGCCACAGAAGGTCAGAGTGGGAAGTAGCCACCTTCCTGGGAGCCCCAGCCCCTTCCCCAGGCTACTTAGACTGGCCCTTCCACTTATTAGCACATGAAGCCACTAAGCCCATAAAAACTGGCAACACAGCACCTCGCCCACTCTCTGTCTATGGAGTGTGTGCCTACTTTTAATCAGAAGACCCACCCCCACACGTCGTGGCCTTTCTCTTGCCTTCCAATGTATCTCTCTGACTAAATCTACTTTTACTCAACTGTGGTTCGCTCTTGAATTCTTTCCTGTGCGAAGCCAAGGACCCACGCTTGGCGGGGCACGTCCCAGGGGCTCAACTGAAGCCTGGGACACGGCCCTCCTCACGCCCCGCATCTGTTTTCCTGCATCACTGAGAGTAGTTGACAGGCAGAGCCACAAAGACAAAGGCGACACTGGTAACAACAGGGCATGACCCCTTTGCCACAGCGCTCAAGGAGCCTCCGGCCACATTCCCCTCCCCAGTGCAGGCACTGTGATGGTGGTGAGCCAGCGCTGAGCCCTTCTGACAGCGGCTCGTGTCCCATCCCCGCACGCCTAGTGTGGAGGATACGCCTCCCCGGTTCACACAGGCCCCCTTCCCCACGGGTGAGGCCTGGCGATCTCTGCGCTGGGTCTGCCCCCTCACCACGATGCACCGGGAGCCTGAGGTCCACCTCCCAGAACAGAGCTCAGAGCCGAGGGCAAGTCCCTGGCTTGCACATAGGTGTGAGGACCACAAATGGGAAGAACAGAGTGGAAGGCTCCAGGTGTGTTTACCCTGGAATCACAGACTGTCCTCCGAGGCCACCTGTCCCGTGTGACTGTCACCTTTTCCTTTGTGTCACAGGTCCGCACCACGCGCAGCCCTGGGCACCTGAACTTGCTCCCCTTCTCTCAGCCCCTGAGTTTCAGGACAAAGTAAAAGCACCTGTGGGGAGGCCAGATGGCAAGACGCCTGGTCTCAGGTGCGGGCAGGTGATGGGAAGGTCTCGAGTTCAGAGGATGTCTTTACGTCCTCAGAGCACAGCTGAGACAGCAGAGCCACGCTGGATCACAGCCCGACTTTAGAGGAAGGCCCAGAACCCTGCTTCTGAGTCCAAGCAGCCTTCAGGGGAGAGGCCTGGACCGACCTCCTCTCAGACACACACAACGCCAGGAAGAGGTGTGTCCTGGGGCCCGCTCGGCAGAGGCCAGGGACACCCCGCAGCACGTCCTGCTGGGCGAGGCTGCGGCCAGGCAGACCTGCTGCACGTGCTCTGCGGCACAGTCACGTGTGCCTCCCAGGGCACGAGAACCTCAGAGCGCTGGAGGTCACTCTGCCAGAGGCTGTCCCCTGGGGCCGGGGTCAGGCTCCCCAGGCATGGAGCTCACAGGCTGAGCTGCAATTTGGACGGTGCTTTGATTTTTTAACTAGTTGCCAATATTCAAAAGCTGAAACCTTCCATATAAAACACAAGATATCCAGCATCTCTTAAAGAAACGGAAAGATCTGGCTCGTTGGGCCTACACTGCCAGGGAGGGGCAGCTGTGGGCTGGCATCGCCAGCCGCCTCTGCTGGACAGGCCAGCCGGCCAGCCCCCAGCCCCGTGTCAGCACTGCCAGGGAGGCAGACACCTGCTGCCTGGCACCCGGACACTGACAGCTGGACTCTCCTCAGCCAGGTGGGCTGAGGGGCTGGAGCCAGGCGGCTTGGATTCTGGTTGTGACTCAGGAACTGGGGGCTGTGTGACCCTGGGCAACCTGTCCAGCATCTCCAGGCCTGGACGTCTTGGTCTGATGTTGAGGGCTGGCCTCCAGGAGCTCCTGGGCAAGGTACCCAGCATGGTGGACGGAGGCCTGGGCTAACAGCTACGGTGGCGCCGTGTGAGCAAGCGCGGGGCTGAGAACAGGAGGTGGCTTCCCAGGCCCTCAGATCAAGAGCAGCCCGGCAGCTGCGGTTCAGGTGCCACCTGTGCAGTGAGATCTGCAGAGAAAAGTTCTCTCACAGACAGGGGGGTTAAAAATAACTGCGGATCAGCAGCCAGTTAACAGGCTCATGCAGGTCTCATCTTACAAAGCCTATGCAACCCTTGTTAAAGGGAAAAAAGTTAATTTTGGAAGAAAATGGAATTTTCAAAAGAACAAAAATTTAAAGAAGAAAGCCCTAACACTGTACTCTTGAAAAGCTTTATCCCCTCTCGTTCCCTCATCCCTGGGGGAGGCAGGTGGGGGACACCCCAGAGAAAGCGGGTCTCCCCAGACCCCGCAGCAGAAGCTGGGTGCTGCACTGCTCAGAATGCAGCGGGGAAGGCGGTCGGCCCCTGGGGCAGGCCCAGTTGTGCCTGTCTTTCTGCGGGAGGCCGCGTTCCTCCCGAACTCCTGCCCACTATCCGTGTGACCCCAGGGACAACCTTGGCCCCTCCTGACATCCGCCCAGAGCCCTGAGGAGGAGGCGGGGGTGGAATGCCGGCTGGGACTTGGGAATTCTGACTACCTGGCCTTGGGAGGTGACTCGGTGCCCTGGGCCTTGGTGTCCTCACTTGAAGACGGGGACCCAGTGGCTGGGGTGCCTTGGTTTGCCGTGAGGAGTAGGGCCTTCGCTCTGGTGAGCCTCCAGCTGGACTCCCCTCTTTGAGAAATCGCTCAGTGGCCGTATTTATTATGATAACAACCGGTATCCAGCCCCTCCCTCCCCTGAGCCCAGTCCCCTCCCCAGAGCAGGCCTGCCGCCCCTTCGGAGCACTTTCCTACCCTCCTGTGTCCCAACTTCACGACCACGTGAACACGCATCTTCTCCCGCTGCAGGCTTTCACGGTCACCTTGGAAAAGGGTGCAAACCTGAACAACCCACAGACCACACAGAAAGTGGCCAACCTCACCCACAATTTGAAAACTGCAAAATAAAATCAATGATGAAATACTATGTTTCACCTATCAGATAGGCAAACAGGAAAATGCCCGACGAAGACCCGCCAGTGCTGGAGCGAGGATAGGTGCTCTGCCCCACGGCCGTGGACGTGAATTGAGCCAACGCCTGCAGGGAGATTTGGTAACACCCTCAGAGCTCAAACCACCCACACCTCTGACCCAGCAATTTCAGGTTTAGACTCTCACCAGATCACGCCATCCCAGGAGCTCCCCGCAGGCACCGCAAGCTCACTGCAGCGCTGCTGAAGCTGAAGACTGCCAGGGACCCCAGCGTCCCTGAACGCAAGGCAGGCTGACACGGCGGGCCACTCGGCTGCCGCAGGACCTCTCTGCTCCGCGTCCACTGCTGCAGAGCGACGCCGCAGAGGCTCAGAAGTGGGAAGAAGACACACACGCACATTTCAACACACCCTCTACAGCCAGGGTGGCGTGCGGGCCCGTCCGAGGGGAGCGGGGAGCTGGACGGACAGCCAGGTGGACAGGGGATGGGAGGAGGAGGCCGACTGTCACTTGGAGCCCCCTGCACTGTTTTAGTTTCTTAGCCACGTGGGGCATCACTCCTGCTGGACGGGTCTTCAGCCCCTCTGTGCCAGGGGACGTGCCACACGGTGCCGAGCGGGGCCACCTGCACACGCAGCGGGGACACATGGGAGGCTGATGACTCCCACAGCCCCTGGGACAGACCCACCAATAAATGCCCTCCAAGAAGGCCGAGCGGCCCAGCCTTGCCCCTCAAGGGCTGCCTGGCCTCGAGGTCAGATGCCTGTCTTTTCTGGTGCCGCCCGGGCTGTGTCCGCCCTCACGGTGCACCTGCTCAGCCTGGATGACTGACCTTTGCCACATGGGAAATATCTTTCTAGTTGGGTTACTTATGAGGTTAAAAAAGAAGTATCTTAGAAATCAGGATTTTTAGGTCACATTTAAGGTTATCACCTTCTAGTCGTTTGTAAATAGTTCCAATTCTGTGTATTTTCAGGTTTGATTTGAAGGCATTTAACTGCGCCCGGCCGCGGTGGAGCGCGTGGTCAGAGGTGGGAAGCGGGGGAGAGGCCCACACCCGCCCTCGGCTCCGACATGCCTCTGCCCTGCGCCCTGGTGTCTAGCCTGGGCCCACGGTTTGCCAGAGCAGCCGATGTGGATGAGGGCTGGGCCTCACTCCACCCTCTTCCCAAGCATGTTACTGCTCTAGATAGTGCAAAATCTAGTTTCTTAGCTTCAAGGAAAACTCTGTGCCTCTTTCGTTAGACTTGCACTCACGGGTTGCTTCAGTTTGGAGAAAACAGCTATCCTCCAACGTCTGAGTCACAATCTTCAAGACGGCCCTGCCAGTGATTTTTGCTCAGTCAGCAGCTGTCAGTCCACAGTTCTTCTAGTCGGGCGTCTATGATGTCCAGCGGAACATGAGCACAGTTCAAAAGCTCCTCACCGGGAACCTGGGGGATCCAATTTTCTCAAGCAGCTGACTTCAGGACTATCACATGTTTGGGGTCGGGGAAGACGGGTCTGCCTGGCTCTGAATTTCAGGCACCCTCTAAGTATGCATTCAGTTCAAATCATTTACTCCTAAGCTCGTCACACCCTAGACCAGTGCTGATCGTCGCCAATTCCTAAGATAAAAAGTTTGACTGTTACTAGGTTTTTCATAGTTTATTTAGCAGCTCTGTCTTGCAGTTCCTTCCACAGATCTAACATGTAGTTAGTTCTGTGAGTAAAGGAAACCACAGTTACTCTGTGAGGCATTGACAGTGATGCAGGTCTACGGAAGACGTATCTCTCTAATACTTAACACTTCCATCCAGGAAGAGTCTGTTTCTTCAAATCTTACACGCTTTGGAAAATGCAGCGTATTTTCTCTAATCACAGGTGCTTCCTGAGCCTCGGGTCCTTGGGTGGTGGAGCTGGGCCTGGCTGGGCTCCCACTCTCCCGGGTTATCTCCCTCCATGTCCTGCCTGAGCTGGCCAGGGGTCAGGGGTCAAGGAAGACACCCCCCCCCCAGTTCTCCCAGCAGACGAAACAGAATGAAGATAAAGGAGGCCAGTGCTGAGGGGGAGGGGGAGCCAGGTGAGGGGTTAAGCCTCAGAGGAGGTGAGGGCTTCAGAGGAGAGGCAGGTGCAGGGGAGAGGGAAGGGTGGAGGGGTGCCCGACGGTGGTGGGTGGAGGTCCACAGGGTGGGGGGCAGGAGGGAGCTGGGCTGCACG